TGCTTACAAATATCTAAAGGGTGGGTTGAAGGAGGATGGAGCCAGACTCTTCTCGGTGGTTCCCAGTGACAGGACGAGGGGCAATGGGCACAAGTTGGAACATAGGAAGTTCCGTTCCAATACACGGAAAAACTTCTTTACAGTTGGGGTGACAGAGCAGTGGCACAGGCTGCCCAGGGAGGTGGTGGAGTCCCCTTCTCTGGAGATTTTCAAAACCCGCCTGGATGCAGTCCTGAGTAATGTGCTCCGGGCAATCCTGCTTTAGCAGGGGAGTGGGACTAGATGATCTCTAGAGGTCCCTTCCAATTCTGAAAATTCTGTGATAAATTGTTTCAAAGCACAGTGAACATTCCTCCATATATGTGCTAATAATAAAAATAACCATTCAATAACTAAACCGTTTCTAGAAAATACTTCAGAGACAAAAATACTCAATGATAAAATAAAATAGAAAAGGGACGGGTGAGAGCAAATACTGCTTTCCAAAAAAAACCTGCTTAGACAAGTGTATTGGGTTTATGCAGCAAGGTTTTGGTAGCGCGGGGTGCTGCAGGGGTGGCCTTTGTGAGAAGAGACCAGCAGCAGCTCTATGTTGGAGACATCTGGTCCAGCCAACTCCAAAGTGAACCCGCCACTGCCCAAAGCTGGGCCCATCAGCTGCGCTGGTGGCACCTCTGTGATAACCATATTTGAAGAAGGGTAAAAAATGCTGCATAGAGGGAGGAGCGAGAGAAACATACCCTGTAACCCATGCTGCTCCCCAAAACAGCCTCGGGCCTTGAAAGGCACAAACATCCACTGATGTTTGTGCTTCCCACATCAATCCAGCCTAGTTTGTAAGCTTCGAAGGCCATGAGTACCTACTCTTTCAAAGCAACTAAACGCTGACTGTAATCACTTTCGCTACGAAATTAATGCCACATAACTGACAAATTGCCTTGCTTGTGTCTATATTTCACTGAACCATCTTGAGCCACTCACCACGTTTTAATTGCGTGTAGGAAATGTTCCCAACATGCACATACACTCAGATCAGCGAAGCACAGCCAGGAGTTGTAGTGGTTGAAGACTGAGTATTTCAATAAAAATTTCAGGCTACAGCATTCAGGTTATTTGCCATGTTCTGTGAGCAAGGGCACATAGTACTGGGAGAATCCACGGAGACAGAAAGCATCACAGCTACCAGAATGATGAAGACAACACTACAGTATGCGCTTAATTCTGTTTGAAACCAGAGGTCTGTCATTCTGAAGAACTAGCTTTCATTTCCTAGTGTGAAACACTGTCAGTTATTGTATTCAAAGAAAGCATGCTGCCACTTGCAAAAAGAATTTGTTTATAGATTTGAGAATTGCATTTTTATTTCGCAGTAGAAGCTCAGCATGCTTTCTGCAAAGACAAGGCTAAAACAAGACATTCTTCTATGCTGATATTGTGTGAAATGCAGTTTAAAACGTGGTGCTGGCAAGCAGCAGCTCTATTACTTTTTACTTAGCAACACATCTCAGCTGAGATGCTAAAGGAATCTACATCAATAGGACATAGCAAGAAGCATTCACGCTGAAAAAGAGCAAGAGCTGCATGATCTTGCCTGAGAGCCACTTCTGAAAGCCTTTCTCCCTTTACTGAGTGCCTCTGCTACCTGACCTCTGTGGTATTAATGAATCATAGAATCATAGAATGGTTTAGGTTGGAAGGGACCTTGAAGACCATCCAGTTCCAACCCCCCCTGCCATGCCAGGGACACCTCCCACCAGACCAGGTTGCTCAAAGCCCCACCCAGCCTGGCCTTGAACACCTCCAGGGATGGGGCAGCCACAGCTTCTCTGAGCAACCTGGGCCAGTGCCTCACCACCCTCAGAGTCAAAAATTTTTCATAATATCTATTCTAAACCTACCCTCGTCCAGTTTGAAGCCGTTACTCCTTCGTCCTATCACACTGTTTCCAGTGGTCTTCTGGAAACCGTGTTTTGTCTCCTGGTTGGACCAAGTACAAAGCTGTGCACTGACGAGCCACCTGCGTCACCCCACTTTTAACATCTGTGCATGGAGGAAGAATGCATCTTCTCTGAGGTCTTCCAGCATTGTCCCCTCAGTGGATTCAGTGAGCACTGACAAATCATCTAGGATGACTTTGCAGATACCTGCTTTGTGTTGCCTGTTCTGTGGTGCTGTGCATACTTCTCTGGGCAACCTGATGCAGTGTCTCACCACCTCATAGTGAAAAATTTCCTCCTAATATCCATTCTACATTTCCTCTCTTCCTGTTTGAAACCATTACCCCTCATCCTATCACTACGTGCCCTTGTAAAAAGTCCCTCTCCAGCTTTCTTGTAGGTGCCCTTCAGATACTGGAAAGTTGCTGTTAAGGTCTCCCTGGAATCTTGTCTTCTCCAGGCTGAACAACCCCAACTCTCTCAGCAAACTTCTCTGCTTAGTCAAATTTGCAAAGGCTAATAGTTCCCAGAAAGCTGGTACAGACAGCTACTTTCAAACAGCTCTGAATTTTCCTAGCATCTGCCTGGCTGTCATCGTATTTTGACAAGTCAGAAACTGCACCAACCTCCTGGGAGGATCTATTCAACTACTAAGTCTCCTGACCCATAGTTTAGAAAACTGTCTGTGACTCAAACCATTATCACTAGTACTTACCTTTCTCTTTGCAAAGAAGAGATAGAAAACAGCTACTCTTTGAGGTCTTTACC